GCGCGGCGGTCGAGCCCTGCCGCTGCCGGCTCTCGCTCCGCCCGGGCGCGCGCCCGGCCCCGCCCTCAGGCCCGCCGCGGCCGCCGAGACCAATGAGGTGAGAGGGAGGCGGGGGCGTCAGCGCCTGAGGGCAGGGTGTTGCTCCAGACCCCGGGGTTCCGCGGCGGAGGGGTGCTGTATACTGGGATGCAGGCGCGGTGGAGACCGACAGCAGTCATGCCCTGGGAGCTAATGTAGAGCTTTGGAGAATGCTTTTGCAAGTTGTACGAGAAGGGAAGTCCTCGGGGTGAGTGTCCAGTCTCTTCTTGGCCCTCACGGGCACCCTAGCTATATAATGAACCCAGGGGGCCCCGAGGGCGGTGATGCTTCCTGAGAGTCTTAGCTTGCAGCAGTAGCGTAGGCCCAGTCAAAGGCAACTGGCGCTTCCTGCACATCCCGTTTTTCTCATTCCCCGCCCCCAGTCCTGTCCTCAGCTGCCCTCGACCTTTTGCACTCGTGACTCCCTGGCCAGGGAGGGCCTAGCGGGCTGCAGCAGGTGCTGGTTGTGGGGGAAGCTTGTCTGAACGACCTTCGTTTGGGATGTACCCTTCTTTCCTTTCACCTGGGAATGATAGAGGATTACAAAGAACTATAAGGTTGCCTCCTCTGTCCTTTGGCCTTAGGTTTCTGACCTCCTGCAGCCTCCTCTTGCCTCGGGCTGCCCAGATCTTGACGGCTGAGGCTGGCTTACCTTCTAGCCGTTCCTTCATGGGATTTGCTGCCCCCTTCACCAACAAGCGAAAGGCTTACTCGGAGCGTAGAATCATGGGGTAAGCATCCTCTACCCTGCATCCTTCCACTTCCCCTTTCTCTCCAAATAACCATGTCCAGGCAACAATGTCAGGGTATCATTGGTGGGCAATATTTATCCCTAGCTATCCTCATCCGCAGCTACAGTACTGATCCTCAAACCTCCCCTGCCAGCCTCCCGACCTTAATTTTCCCCTTCCTGGCTGCTGTGCATGGTGCATTAAGTGAAATGAGACTAGGGTTGGACTATACCTTAAGACAGCCGGGTGTAGCTGGGTGCGGTGGCTCGCGCCTGTAATCCCAGCACTTTGGGAGGCTGAAACAGGCCGATCACTTGAGGTCAGAAGTTTGAGACTAGTCAACATGATGAAACCTTGTGTCTACTAAAAAAGTACAAAAATCAGCCTGGTGTGGTGGTGGGCACCTGTAATCCTAGCTACTTGGGAGGCTGAGGCAGGAGAATCGCTTGAACCTGGGAGGCAGAGATTGCGGAGAGCTGAGATTGCACCACTGCACTCCAGCCTGGGCGACAGAGCAAGACTGTCTCAAAAAACAAAACAAGACAACGGGGTGTATTTTTCTGGTGGCCATTAAAAAAATTTTTTGTGGGTACATAGTATGTGTAAATATTTGAAGCGTAATCTTTTTAATATATTTTGAGCATAATAGCTAATTTATCAAGCACTTGCTACATTTTAGCAGCTTGACTTAAATGTTTTACATAGATTTTTCTCATTTAATTCTCACAACAAACCTATAAATCAGGTGAGAAAATGAAGACACAGGTAATTTACCTAAGGCCACATTGTTAGAAAATTGTTAGAACTGAGATCTGATCCTTGTGTGATCACCAGTAAAATTGACAGCCTCTCTGTTCTCCCTAGATGGTTCCTCTTGAAATAAAAATAATGCAAAAGTATTCTGTAAACTGCAAAACATAAGGTAACAATATCATAAGGATTTGCACATTTGATTTTGGGAAGTTATTCATCCAGGCTTATTTGGGATCCCTAGTTCCTGAAGGGGTATGGTTAGTGGGCAGAGGTATAAATTAGGGGCCTATAGCAAGGAGGAACCTGACCCAGCTGGCAGTTCCTTGGCTGTGATTCCTCTTCTCCTAGGTATTCAATGCAGGAGATGTATGAGGTGGTGTCCAATGTCCAGGAGTATCGCGAGTTTGTGCCCTGGTGTAAGAAGTCTCTGGTGGTATCCAGCCGTAAGGGTCACTTGAAAGCCCAACTGGAGGTTGGCTTTCCACCTGTCGTGGAACGTTACACCTCTGCAGTTTCCATGGTCAAACCTCACATGGTCAAGGTGAGGCCTGTATGGGAGGGATTGATAAGATTTTTTTCTCTTTAGCACTTTTATATTGAAGTGCTGTTTTGGCCTTTGTAATGACTCTATGTGTCAAGTAATTCCCTAATAGCAGAAAAAAAGAAAATGGTTTTCAATTCCTTTGTATTATATCCTATACTTAGTAATGTTATTTAACTACCTGATTGCCCTATTTTAGGCTGTTTGTACTGATGGCAAGCTCTTCAACCACTTAGAGACCATTTGGCGATTCAGCCCTGGCATTCCTGCCTATCCCCGAACCTGCACTGTGGACTTTTCGGTGAGTTAGGAGGCTGTGTAGCAGAGGACTAGGACTGGGTATGGGGAAGGGCTGGGGTGCTGTGACAGGGTTATTTATTTTTTTTGAGATGGAGTCTTGCCCTGTTGCCCAGGCTGGGAGTGCAATGGTGCGATCTCGGCTCACTGCAACATCTACCTCCTGGGTTCAAGTGATTCTCCTGCCTCAGCCTCCCAAGGAGCTGAGATTTCAGGTGCCACCACCATGCCCGGCTACTTTATTTATTTATTTATTTTTTTTTTTTGTGACGGAGTTTCGCTGTTGTTGCCTAGACCGGAGTGCAATGGCACGATCTTGGCTCACCGCAACTTCCACCTCCTGGGTTCAAGCAATTCTCCTGCCTCAGCCTCCCGAGTAGCTGGGACTACAGGCACGCACCATCATGCCCAGCTAATTTTTGTATTTTTAGTAGAGACGAGGTTTCACCATGTTGACCAGGATGGTCTTGATCTCTTGACCTCGTGATCCACCCACCTCGGCCTCCCAAAGTGCTGGGATTATAGGCGTGAGCCACCGCGCCCGGCCTAATTTTTCTATTTTTAGTAGAGACAAGGTTTCACCATTTTGGCCAGGCTGCTCTCAAACTCCTGACCTCAGGTGATCCATCCACCTTGGCCTCCCAAAGAGCTGGGACTACGTGCCCGGCTGGTTATTCTTTAAGTATAGATAGCACTTAGTATTCCCCAAGTCACAATTTCCACAGATCTGAGCTTGTATCAGACTTGTAATCTGTGCTCAGTCTCAAGTTAGGGCCCTTAAGGGAATTCAAGGAACTGAAGGGGGTAGGGGGAGGAGAGGCACTGAGGAATGGTATCCTTGCGTTTGGCCAGGGGCTATCCAACGTGGTCTGGAAAAGTTTCTGACTGTCTCTTACCCATTCCCAGATTTCCTTTGAATTTCGTTCTCTGCTGCACTCCCAGCTGGCCACCATGTTTTTCGATGAGGTTGTCAAACAGAATGTTGCTGCCTTTGAGCGTCGGGCAGCCACTAAGTTTGGTCCAGAAACAGCCATCCCCCGTGAACTAATGTTCCATGAAGTGCACCAGACTTGAGGCAAGGGATTGTTCTCTAACCTCCCTTCTATCCCTCTTCCCTATCCAATTTTCTTATTTATTTGGTTTGGCTCCTGCTCCAGTTTGAGAGGAGTCTGTGTTCGTAATACTGTTTCTCCTCTCAATTCCCTAGAATTTGGGTTCTATGCTGGCTGGAAATGTAGGGGGAAACAGAAGGCAAAGGATGTGGAAATGAGATGTGCCTAGGAAAGGGTCAGGCCCATCGTGGGAGCACCATATGCCTGCAGACTTTTCACTACGAATTAGAATAAGGACTATGTGGTTGTCTCTGGGCCTTATTAACACACCTTAGTGTCTGACCAGGGGAAGAGATTAACTTTTCTAAGGATTGAATAAATTGAGTTTTTCTTCTGGCATAGAGGTACTGAGTGGTAACTTTTACCTGCCTGAGATTCCTCAGGATAAAAGACAACTTGCCTCCACCCTGAAATACATAAAGCCTCATTTTAAGACTGTAAGTCCATGCTGCCTGGCTACTAGAGAGTAAGGGGCTTTCTTACCGTCAGTGCCGAGAAGTACTAAACGGGGTTGTCGTTGTCTCTTGAGTTGTACCTTATTCTTCCACTTGGCCTGAATTTTTATAAAATTTCAATAAATTGTGACAGTGTGAAATTTGGCTTTATTATATTGTTTCTTGGGATAATAATGCAGATATAGTAGAATAAAAGAAAGTTATGGCTTCTTTCTCTGGGGAAGTGAAGGTGTAAGAAGGCCTCTTGGACATAGTGTCCCCGCTAACTATAGTAGCACATTCTACAAGCCAGGACCTAGTATCCACCCCCTTGCCTATTTATAGACTTTTTCAGAAGGTCACTTGCAGCAGGGATATCAGAACAGAATCATCTGGTCTCAGACCTCCCATATATGTGATGGCCTCAGGACCACCTCTTATTTTTGGGACCTCCTTCAGGGAAGCTGAAAAGAGCAGGCACTCCAAGAAGTACCAGAGCCCTCTAGTGGCTTAGGTCCTGAGGTACCTGAGGTAGAGCCATAGTAGCCCATTTGTCCTTGATACAGTTTGTTCCTTTCACTCAGTGGGCTAGACCAGTTCTTGGAGTAGTCAAATGAGAATTGACAGTCTCAGCTATAGCCCTTGTTATATGTTACCTTACAACAAAATTAGCAAGGTTAGGAGCTAAACATCAAGGACTTCCTAACCTTGAGGAAGAACGGAAGTGTCCTTTGGAAATCCCTCAGGGAGGCTTTCCTCTGGTTAAGGTAAAAGGAAGCCAAACCTACCTAAAGATAAATGGATGCAGAAGACTACTTAAAATCTACTAAGTTCAGGATCGTGGTAGCCAGATTCTTTTTTTTTTTTTTTTTTTTTAGATGGGGTTTTACCATGTTGGTCAGGCTGGTCTTGAACTCCCGACCTCAGGTGATCCGCCCACCTTGGCCTCCAAAGTGCTTGGATTACAGGCGTGAGCCACCATGCCTGGCTGGTAGCCAGATTCTTTACCTCATAATAAAGATTCTTTCAGGCATCATTTAATAGCAGGCTCAAGCATTGTTAATAAAAACATTTATTTTGCATTTTATACAGAACAACCTGAAGTCTGCACCATGACTTGACAGTTACCCAGGGGTTTACAGTGTGTCCAACTCAAGTGCAGTTCTGGGACTGGGGATCCACACAAACACAGGCAGGAGTCTGGAGAGAAGATGGGGGCACAGCAGGAGTGTATCTCAATCCTTTCTCAAAGAAAAGGCAGTAGAACATTCTGAGTTGCTGAAAACCTGTGCAAATGGGCCTTCTAAAACAAACATTGTACTGTGAGCTCTCAGGGAAGAGAGAGGAAAAGGATGCTGATAAATAAGGAGGCATCTTCTTGAGGCAGGGGATGAGGAGGGAGGCTTACTATTTTAATGCCCTCAGCCCCAGTACCTGATAATCAGAGGAGACCATGTTCAATCTTGAATCAATTCTCTGTTCAAAAAGAGGTGCTAATAACCCAGGGACCAGACTCTGAAAATAACGTGCTGGTTATTCCTGAGTCCCTGCTCTATGCCTCACAGCATATTAAAAGATGGGGGTCTGGGGACTGGGGAGGCCAGAGGGTAGTGGCTTGTGTTCTATGGAAGTAAAAAACTTAGTTCACATTAAGCACTGATAAAACCCAACGACTGGGACCACAGATCTGTTAAGAGGTCTCTAGTACGGACCAAGAGGGGAGGTCCAGAACATCCTCAGCTTGAGTTGCAATAGGTGTAAAGTCTGGGAGGAGGTGAGTATTAAAGTAATGGGAAACGGAACACTCCCAGACTTAATTTTAATTGGATAGTTTTAAAAAAAGAAATCAAACATTGGGAGCCAGTCACAACAAATGCCATGCCTTTTATGGTCACTTGGTCACATAAAAAAATTGCCAAAGCATGTCCAGCTAACCAACAGGTCTTGCTAGGAGGTGTTTGTGTGCACGGGAGAGGGCCAAGGGGCTTGGTACAGCTGACTATCCATCATGATTCCTATGGAAACAGAAGGGGCAGAGTCCTGGTTTGCTGGCTTATTGAGGGCTTGGCAGAGAAGAAGCAAAAGCTCCAAAGTGACTGCAGATTCTCTGTAACCGGCTTTGACCCATGGAAAGAGGAGCCAGATTCTCACTCTAGAGATAGTGGGGGGGCCAAACCTAACTCATACCACATGCATTAGTCCTGGCCATCCTCCCGGACCACCCCTATGATGGGCAACTCATACCAGGCAGGGAAGAGGGCTGATTAGGGAAGAAGGGATCATTTTTCAGCTTTTAAAGTCTTAATTTATATTTTAACCTCAAACACATTATCAGTGCCTCAGATATAATTTAATCTTAAGTCTTTAAAGGGCCCCTGAAACAAAAGTATACTCTTTATTTAGGCTTCCTCACTTTCTAGTAGTCACTTTCTCCCAGTCTCCAGTTTTACCCTGACTTAGAGTCCACAAACTTCATCAGACCCTCTGTGCTCATGGACTTGGGCCTTTCTAGAGGGAAGCCTAAGGCTCGGCTCCAGATGAGCTGTGCCAGTACACCCAATGCGCGTGACACCCCAAACAGGACCGTGTAGTAATTCATCTCCGTCATTCCATAGTACTGTAAGGTAAAAGAGAAAAAGGTTTTGTTTAAGGCAGAGGCAGTGACATGTACAAGTCCTGGGTGATAGAAACCTTAAAAGCTCAATTATCCCTTTTTCTCCAAGGACTTACCCAGTCAACCTTAAATAGAAATGACACTGCAGGCCGGGCGCGGTGGCTCAAGCCTGTAATCCCAGCACTTTGGGAGGCCGAGGCGGGTGGATCATGAGGTCAAGAGATCAAGACCATCCTGGTCAACGTGGTGAAACCCCGTCTCTACTAAAAATACAAAAAATTAGCTGGGCATGGTGGCGCGTGCCTGTAGTCCCAGCTACTCAGGAGGCTGAGGCAGGAGAATTGCCTGAACCCAGGAGGCGGAGGTTGCGGTGAGCAGAGATCGCGCCATTGCACTCCAGCCTGGGTAACAAGAGCGAAACTCCGTCTCAAAAAAAAAAAAAAGAAATGACACTGCAAAAAGTATAGCAATTGGGACTCTGAAAAGAGAATAGCCCCAACCCCAGCCCTGTCATATCAACTTTATCAAAAGGCTCTGTAAGGGAGGTCCTTGCTCTGATAGGAGTTAGTTGACTTTGTGCATGGCAGATAACAATAGGGTTTGGTACAAATTAGAGGGAAAAAAGGAAAAGGAGGACTTACCTGAAGCAGCACCCCACTGTGAGCATCTACATTGGGCCAAGGGTTCTTGGCCTTACCCTGCTCTAAGAGGACATTGGGCACAATCTTGTATAGCTGAGCAACCAACTTAAACATGGGGTCATTAGGCAGGTGTTTCAGAGCAAACTCTCGCTGACAGGTATATCGTGGATCAGTCTTTCTTAGTACTGCATGGCCATAGCCTGGAACAACCTGTAAAGAATGAGGAAAAAAGTATTCTCAGTAGAAATTATTTTATTTTTTGAGACAGGATCTTGCTCTGTCACCCAGGCTGGAGTGCAATGGCATGATCACATCTCCCAGCAGCCTCCCAGGCTCAGGCAATCCTCCCATTTTTGCCTTCCAAGTAGCTGGGACCAGCACACCAATACACCTGGATTTTTTTTTTCTTTTTTTTTCTGGGTAAAGATGGGGTCTGGCTGGGCACAGTGACTCACACCTGTAATCCCAGCACTTTGGGAGGCCTAGGTGGACAGATCACCTGAGGCTGGAAGTTCGAGGCCAGCCTGATCAACATGGAGAAACCCTGTCTCTACTGAAAATACAAAATTAGCCGGGCATGGTGGCACATGCATGTAATCCCAGTTACTTGGGAGGCTGAGGCAGGAGAATCACTTGAACCCAGGAGACAGAGGTTGTGGTGAGCAAAGATCACACCACTGCACTCCAGACTAGGCAAAAAGAGTGAAACTCTGTCTCAAAAAAAGAAAAGAAAGATGGGGTCTCTGTTGCTCAGGCTAGTCTCAAACTCCTGGGCTCAAGTGATCCACCTACCCTGGCCTCCCAAAGTGCTAAGATTATAAGCCTGAGCCACCACACTCAACTTATTCTTATTTATTTGTTTTTTTTTAGAGACAGGGTCTTACAGTGTTGTCCTGGCTGGAATACAGTGGCTATTCACAGCAGTGATCTTAGCACACTGCAGCCTTGAACTCCTGGCCTCAAGCAACCCTCTTGCCTCAGCCTCCCAAGTAGGTGAGAATACCGGGGTCCATGCCATTGTGCCCAGCTAGAAATTATTTTCTAAATAAATTCTTCTAGGTAGATAAATGGAAAAAGAAAAAAAAAAATCTCTAATTTAGAGACCTCTTTCATTCTTGTCTTCTTGAGACGGAGTCTGGCTCTGTCGCCCAGGCTGGAGTATAGTGGCACGATCCTTAGCTCACTGCAACCCCCGCCTCCTGGGTTCAAGCAGTTCTCCTGCCTCAGCCTCCTGAGTAGCTGGGAGTCCAGGCGCCCGCCACCATGCCCAGCTAATTTTTTGTATTTTAGTAGAGACGGGGTTTCACCATGTTGCCCAGGCTAGTTGCAAACTCCTGAGCTCAGGCAATCCGCCTGCTTCGGCCTCTGAAAGTGCTGGGGTTACAGGCGTGAGCCACCACACCTGGCTCATTCTTTTCTTCTTAATTCTTCCAAATTGCAGAACTTGGGTCTTGGTTTCTTTCCTAGTCGTTAAGCATCTCTGCTTACCCGTCCCGAGTTGAGTGTGTTCCAGATGTAGTCTCGTAACTTCTCATCTGACACATCTTTGCCAACTTCCTTCTGTAGATGTGTTAGCCAGACAAGCACTTCCTATGGGAAAGGTTTAGGAAAAAAAGGAATGTTAATACATATGCCAGGAGAGAATGCCAAGATCAGAAACAAAGCATGGGGTAAGGAAAAGATGTATCGAGAAAATAAAAAGAATAGTTTTACCTGGTTTGCCAGTCCATGGAGAGGTCCTGCCAGCCCGTTCATGGCTGCTGCAAAGGACAGGTAAGGGTCTGAAAGGGCACTGCCCACCAAGTGGCTGGTATGGGCACTTACATTGCCGCCCTCATGGTCACTGTGGGGAAGAAGGGAGAGCCAAGGGGAGAAGGAGCAGATTATGGAAGCCTTGCTGTTTTCTTATTTGTCACTTACTAGCCTAGTTATGGGCTCAGGCAGCCTATACCCAGTCAGTTATACCTAAGCTCTTGAATAAGACATCATAAGGCTGGGTGCAGTGGCTCATGCCTGTAATCGCAGCACTTTGGGAGGCTGAGGTGGGTGGATCACAAGATCAGGAGTGCAAGACCAGCCTGGCTGAGATGGTAAAACCCTGTCTCTGCTAAAAATACAAAAATTAGCTGGGCGTGGTGGCACGTCCCTGTAGTCCCAGCTGCTTGGGAGGCTAAGGCAAGAGAATAGCTTGAACCTGGGAGGTGGAGGTTGCAATGAGCGAGATCATGCCACTGTATTCCAGCCTGGGCAACAGAGCAAGACTCTGTTTCAAAAA